CCGGGCCCAACCCCTTCAGGCCCCGCCCCGCATGTAAGCCACGCCCCTCGGATGGGAGTTTGGACGCCACGCCCCTCTCCGTTCTCCACGGCCCTCCGTGCTGCACAGGGCAGATTTCGGGGGGCGGGAACGCCAGCCTCTCTCCCGGGTGCGGGCTAGAGGGTCTCTAGGCCTCCGCAGTCGCGGCCTCAATTCCGGAAGACACTTGCAATGAGAGCACGTGAGCAGAAAGCGGGGACCTCTCCAGCCAGCCAGACACGTGGTGGAGGGTCAAGCTCACCGTCACACCCTGGAGCTGGGGCGTGGGGTGTGAAGGATGGGATACCCTCGTCCCCACTCCTGATGGGGGGGCTAGGAGTGGGGCCCACGCTGCCACTCCTCCTCGGGCACACGAATGGGGGCGGCAAGGATGGGACGTTCCGGTCCCCACTGCTGACACTGGGGGTGGGGACTTGCCGGGCGAGCTCTCAGGAAGCCTAGAAGCCCCGCCCACCTGCAGGGGGCGGTGAAGGCCGGAGGAGGGGTTCTTGGCTCCAGCCCCACGCATCCCTGCCCAGGCTGTCTCCCCTTCCCCTACCCTTCCCCTCAGGGTCTCCCTGCCCCTCCCCTGCTCTGCTATACCTGGCTCCCCATCTTAGGTAGCCCCCAGGTTCAGGTCTGAGGTGGGGAGTTCCCACGCCCTCTCCTCTCCTGGGACAGCACATCCCCCTCCCCTCTCCCGGGATCTGGTCCCCAGGTGTTGGAGGTCAGGCAGCTCTCCCCAGGCAAGCGCCTGCCTCTCCTCCCACTCCCCTGCCCGGAATGCTCCCTGTGGGGACCCCCTGGCCCTTCCAGATGGGAGGCCCTTAGGATGCGACCTGGGCTACCAGGTTCGCACAGAAATAGTTCTCTAGCTGCAGGGGCTGCTCCCCCAGTCCCAGCCCCCAACTCGCCCCCTCCAGGGCCCTGCCAGGCCCTGCCTCTTACCCAACCCAAGAGGACCCATCCTTCCTGGGAGAAGGGATCCCGCACCACGACACTGCCCACCCCAGCCGGCCTTGGAAGCACTGGCCCATCACCCTATGGCCTGCCCCACAGCCAGGCCCTCACCTGCTCACTACCTACAGCCCAGGCCTCCCCCAGTCCCACCCCACAGCCCAGGCCTTACCTGCTCACTGCCTGCAGCCCAGGCCTCCCCCGGTCCCACCCCACAGCCAGGCCCTCACCTAGTCCCTGCCTGCAGCCCAGGCCTCACCTGCTCACTGCCTACAGCCCAGGCCTCCTCCGTCACTTGGCTCCTCTGTGGGCTCTGAGCAAAGTTAATGGACATGAAATTGTATTCAAAACTCCATTTGTTCTCGCAGACCCGACTCAGCCCTGTACCTCACCTGAGCCGGCTGCTCCTTGGGGCTCAGACATAGGCTCTGCTTGCAATCTGCTGACAGGGCAGCCCCCGGGGCCACGTTGGGGACCAGCTGTTTGCCCCACCATGACAGGCACTGGTGGTTCCCACCTTCCTGGTGCCCAGGGGCCGGGCACCTTTTCATATTTTGAATACTCAGCCCACTTCCCTGGATGCTGGCTAGTGGGAGTGGGGGGCAGCTGCCCCTCCGTCCCCCAGCCAAGGAACGGGCAGGTATGGTGGCTCTGGCCGCAATAATGCTGCGTAACAAGCAGCCCCCAGGCCCCCTGCGATATCACCACATCTTTTGTCTTGGTCACGGGCTGCAGGTCAACTGAGGGGCTGTGCTTTGGACTGAGGGTCAGGCTCAGGTCTGTTCCCAGGGGGTCTCTGGGACCCGGGCTGTGGAAATGAGCCACCTGGGTGTGCTCTTTACAAAACTTAGGGCCAAGCCAACCCCACAGGCACGTGGC